TACGTGGGTTCCTTAGCTACTCAAGCCCAACTAGTGGCCCCTTGACTATGCTTTCCACTCGTGTGCAATGCCCTCTAAGTGAACTACCGAGTGTTGACTAGTCAGTGAATCCCTTTTTTTTATTTTCTATTTTTATATATTTTTATTTTAACTTAAAGAATGAATATAAAAATAATACAAAATCACATAATTAACCAAAACTTCAAATTATTCACATAAAAACATTTTTCTTAATTTAACTCAAATATAAAACTATTTATCATGAATTAATATGTAAAATATACCATTAACTAATTATTAACTCATAATAATAAAAACTTATTAATAAGTATTTGAAAAATTACATGGTTATGAGTTGATTAGTAGTACCCCAAATGATTGATGACATCACATGTACAAACCAGGTCTCCAACCTTGTTTTTAAGTTGCCGATGACATTGAAGACTTCTAAGCTAGGGTTGTAAATGGGCGATACCTTATCCGCAGTGTTGCTCATGGTAGAGTCGATGAGGATCAAACCATCCCAACCTAGAACAGTGAAAATTATGATTTTTGAGAGAATCGACAGCTGTGCCTAGGATCATTCTACCTGAGCTAGGAACAGTGATGATGACTAGTACCATGCTTACCCTAACACAGCAATCATGGAAATACACACGCCGAAATCCGGCAGCAGCCCATTGCGGCATCTGGAGGCCTTGTTGACTTCCTCTCTCACTATCGTCTCGGCATGAGGGCAAGTGCTCTTTTATAACCCTACTTTAAGCTGAGATTATAGCGGAGACGTCGTGCACAATCCAAGCACAAGGACCCAGAGTGTGCTACTTTTCAAATCCATCGGGACTTCACGACTCTTGTTGTGCATTCTCTATCACAGCCTTCGAGACCTAGTTATAGGATACGGACTAGATATATACCTTGTAATCCGTAGATTTTCTTTTTCCCTCATTCAACGATCTGGTCTGACTCGGTCAAAACTGCACAGGCTATCTGCTGGATGCCACAGAGATCATGGGACAGGGAACCATGAATCTGCGGAAGGGAATGAACAGTATTTATCGGCTGTGGTTATGACGTAAGCGGCGTTCCCATGCCTGCTACCTGGAAATCAGCATCTTTCGGTAAACCGGAGCCCGCCAAAACAAAGTAAATCGTCGCGGATGGTGCGCGTTCGGGGGTGGGCGAGAACGCGGAAAGGCCAGACTTCAAACAAAAACAGATCTCGACCATTAGAAAAAAGGTCGAAAGCGATCGTGGAATCACGGCCTTTTCCCATAAGTTGACCACTAAAGAGCGTGGTAGGTGACTTTACGTTGCGTGAGTGCTACTCTTTCCTTTCCTAGAGACTTTGAATGATATGACAGGGTTTGACCCCGCCAGATTTCGACGAACTCTTCACCGTCTTTGTCGCAGGCATCATACGGATGGCTTTCGAACAACAGGATTTGTATCTCCTACGCATCTATCATCCGTGTTTATGACAGCCGACTTAGTCTGTTCAGCTGCACAATGTAAAGTCCCTGTGCAAGGCGACGGTTTCCCAGGGAGCTGGAAATGTGCCACCGAACAAAGTTCAGTCCGTCTTGTTTGCTCTCTCGCTCTCTCTCTCTCCCTCCCTCCCTCCCTACCTACCTCTTCCTCTTTCTCTCTCCGATCTATTTACTGCGGCCAGTGAGAAATGCCGACTGTTAGCATTGGTATGTCGACAAATGGATGGGCCCGTTAGGGATCTTCCAGTCGAGGGCAGCGCGCAGCATGCGCCGGCTATGCCTAGGTACGCAGGTGCGTGCCAAGCTCGCAGAAAAGGCCGTCCGTTTGTACGTGATTGAGGGCGATGCATGGCCCGTGATCGTGCCCATCTCTCCTTCCCGGATTATAACTTTCTCGGCCAAGAATATACGCGGCGGCCAGGAGACAAGATCCTGCTGCAGATCTTTTACGTGCGGATATGATGGATCATGTATACTAACCGGTCCAATGCAGTAATATGAAAACAGCAGCATGCTTGAACACATGGAGCAGTGCAACATCACATTTCTACAGCTGAAAATGAAATCAGCGAATATGTCTACTTAAACGTAAATTTACTTATTCCTAAACCCAATATGATATAATATACAATTCCCAACAAAATGCAGATAAAACTGGATTTGTCCCAATAACTCCTTTCGTACAGGTAGATCATAGTGCTCGAAGAACTCATTATTGGGAACTTTTCATCATGAGGAATTGTGAACATAAGCTCAAAGTAATTCATGAAAATAAGTATTTCGGATACTTTTTTATTATCAGTGTATTCGAATAAAATATGGAGTAACTGGATATTTATCTGCAAAAGCCAATCTCCTAGAGAAAAATATGAAAGTTTGTATGAGACAACAGCTGCTTGGACTGAGTGATAATCAGAGGTCCGGCTCCACCGACGTCAAGTCCTTTCATAGGAGTGATATTTTTTAATATACTATTATCAACCATAACTTCTTATCGGACCTAAAATATTTTTTTAGTTTATAATTACCAATTCTTGAAGAACTGAGCATGATCATAATACTCACACCTAAACACTGACTAGATATAGATGACCGACTTGACTCTATTATCTGAAGGAATGATGGTATGGTGTCGAGGAAAATCCATATAGTCTCAGGACCCATGAAATCCTATTATGCCAATGACTTCGCATTAGAGTCCTACATTTTCTTCTTGTTTCTATTCTTGTTTGTTGCCAGCACAGTCATCGTCACTTTTACTTTCAAATGATGAATAATCTATAAGCACCTACACTGGTAAAAATATAAACGTGAAACCGAAATTCTCTAAATGTCGTGTTTGTAATGCATTGGCGAAGATAAAATATTACCCGCTAATAATTATTACATAACAAAATTTAAAAAATGTTTTTATGTAATGGTGGGCATAAAAGCAGATATCCATTTGAGCGGAAACTGAACAGGAAAGCATATGTACGCCGCCTCTCGCAGCTACGCCATCAATCTGAGTATGATTTTAAAGACTGTTCAACCCATTTCGTTGTAAATAGCTTTCATATTTTATTTATCTATGCATATCCATAGTTTCCCCAGAACAAAATCAAATCGGGGTATATGTATGCTTTATCGTGATGAGCTCGGCGATGTTTGGATCTCCCATTGGTGCACGTAAAATACCTGAAACTAAGCGACGCTTGGGACCATCCAATGGGCGTCCCGCCGATAAGATTGGCGTGGAGCGAGGAGAGGTCATAATAGCATGTGGAGAAAGCTGGGATAATAAATTCCGCGATTCCGGAAGGGGACGGCTCTATTTAAAGACAAAGTCAAACGTCTCTGGCAATCATGCAAAGAAGAATTAAGATAACATAAAAAAGAAAACACCAGGTCCCACGTGCACATTTATAGTACTTGAAACGTAAAAGAGTAATTAAAGCGGTCGTTTCTAGGATACTAAATAAATTTGTACGAACTGTCAACTAACTCCTTTGCAATTAAGTTGATAAGCATTTAAATTCCGTGTAATTTGAATTTAAACTAACCTGTGATACCTTTACAATTTGGATTAAGCTTACAATATTATACAATAAATGTCAAAATATACCATTACTCTGATAAATTATTCATATTATCGAAATGTTTGTACTGGGTCTTTATTTCACCTTCATTTTAGTAGCCTTTGTTGCGATAAATAGTTAAGACATTAAATATTTTTTATCTCGATAAATAAGTAAATATAAGTGATGGTATCCCCTTGAAATATTATTTTCAAAGCTTACAGAACTCCATGTAAGGCATTGGATCTTAATGTCGACTCGAACATATCCAGTCAAGTCATGTCTCCAAAAAATTTCTTTATCTTCATCAGAGTTTGTGTTATAACCCGACATAACCCAGATTCTTTGATTCGTATAACTATCCAACCACAAAAGGATTAGAGGACGAGGGACCCATGCTGACTCACTTGACAGATCACGAAAGAAAAGTAAAGAACTTGTGATGTGCATTCTTATCCCTGGTTTTATTATTAGCTCCAGATTGATGAACCTAAGAATTGAAAGATAATCCGTGTTTACTAGGTTTCAAGTGCTCTCAATTGTGACATTGTTTTTCTGTGCTTGAAGAAGGATATGGAAGACGGATCAGAACTAGAATGACGAATACCGTGGACTGATTATGATCCAGATTACAGATTTCGAGTTTGATAGTTTATGAAATGGTTAATGTTGTATACTAAACTTTTCTTTAATTTATTCGACCGGCAACAAGCATATAGGTAGACATTTTTAACTTTTGAGGCCCACAATCGCATTCGGTTGGATATTTGTCCGGAAGTTCACGATCTGTATGAAGAGCCTTTCTGTTATTCAAGAATTTACCCTATACGATAATCTATAGCCATGACGAATTATATTTACCGGCTTTACCAAACTCGTGACCTTTAATAATATTCAATTGTCCATGACACCCCGCGCAGATCGGACGCAATAGACCTCTTGGCATATCCGGCCGCATCACCTGGATATCCTTCCATCGCTCAAAATCCTTCGTCTTCATCATTAACGATCTCCGCGTTGGTGGTGGTGCCTGTAACTATCGATTGAATTACCATCAATCAATACAACCGCATACAGTAGAGAAATTAGTTTCCAGTTGACAAAGAATTTGGACTCCATTTTCATGGAAATAGTTTGTACTCTGGGCGTGTTTAAATCGTAGGAGCACCAAGCGCAGAAGATAACACGTCGTGTGATTCAACAGTCGAAGAGCCGACGGCATAATAATCGGTGACACATCTAGAATGGATCTACTGCGATATCCGAGGAATAAATATTTATTTATTTTTCAAAAAGGATCACATTACAGAAGTTTCATGAACAGATCACAGAAGTACCTCGACAACCTTCTCTATAATACGCTTGAACAATGGTTTATGAAAGCAGAAGAAAAACAACGCCACAAATATGTAGCAACTTCCGCGACAAGAGATACGTGCCGAGTGCAAGACCATCAGTTAATGACGTTGCATTTCTTGCGGATCTCCCCGTTGGTTCCGGTGAGGACCTCAACCCGACCCATCTTCACCATAGCGGCCGCGAAGTTCCTATTGAAGAGAAAGTCATTAAAGGCATTCTTCATCACCTGTGCTGCCGTCACCGGACTAGACATTAGAGTCTGATCGGACGTGAATAACCCCCGGTGAAAGAGGAGGTTCCTGTAGTAGCTCGAGTCGATAATGGTGGGGCTGGGAGGATCCATATCCACTCCCCGGTTCCCATTAACGCTGGTTGGCGGACACTTCTTCTTCAGTTTGGCCGCATAGGCTGGATCCAAGCTCGGGTCCGCCTTCCCGGTGGAGTTGAAGTTGTAAAGCCTACTAGTGATGGAGGAGCAGCGAGCATCGCCAATCGTGTGAGCTCCTGATTATACAAAATAGAGGTCTTAGTGAGGATGACAATCAGGCATGTTCTCGACAAAATTTAGTTCTGGAGGAGATAATTGAGATGGAAGAGGATAAGCTTCCGCAGCGAGCTCTGAATCCAAAACGCACCGGAGAGTATGACCATGTCCTCTTGGGTCAGGCCCTTGCTGGCGAAATTCTGAGTTAGCTGATCGAGGTTGAAGGTGGGTGGAGGCAAATTTGTGAATGTCTCCGAGCTCAAGGAAACCCTACCGTCCCTTCTTCCGGCTGGAACATCGTAGGGAATTCCTTTGCTCTGCCCAAGATTGTGAAAGCATGATTACCTCAAACAGTTATAGAACAAACAGACCAGTGAGTGATCGGTTCATGAATCCTTTGCTCAGAAAGGTTACCAGTTTGACGCTGTCTCTGGCGGCGAAGGCAACAATGTCGGCACAAGAGACGATGCCTGGGCAAACTGCCTCCAGTCTGGTTTTAGCGTTATCAACGACATCGTAGCCTTCAAGACTGTTGTTGATTGGGGAATCCTTCTCCGCGGTACTACCTGGAGTGGAGTCGAGAAGGACCGAGCCATCGCAACCCTTTGACAGAGTAAGGTTCCCAGAGAACATCAAAGTAAGAAAAATGAACTATTGAATGTTCTATAATAATACGATCACGCGCGTCTTGCAGGTTCCATGTGTTGATAAAAAGCTTTGTGCGTTGAATTAAGAGGTGGAAAAGTTACCCTGACAAAGCAGTCGTGGAAATGCAACCTCAATAGATCAGCAGGCACACCCGGATGCGTCACCAGTGCCTTCACCACCTCCTCTGTCACGATTTTCTCCGCGTTAGGGCAAGAATTACGATAGAACCCAACTTGAAGCTGAGCTTCAAGCTGGGTCACACACAGACCCAGTACAAGTGTCAACAAAAGAGCCTCCGCTTCTCTAAAACCCATTTTCTCTTCCTAGACAGAGAACAAACCTGACCACACGCCAAAGACGCGGCTTGGAATCTCTAGAGTTCTCAAAGATTTGATTGCGCACTAAAAGGAGGGATCATTCCTCCATTTTAAAGGCGTGGTGTTCCTCTGATTCCCACGTTTTTTCTCCTTATTTAACACCGCTTGGAACACAACTCATGCACCACCCTGTAAAGTATGAGCCATTAGCTGTATACTACTGGCGTTTCAGAGGGAAGGATGTCGATGAAGGGCAGGTGGGGTGTATTCCTAGCCTATTTTAATTCAAGTGGACAGCCGTTGTCGATGGAGATGCGATCTCCCCGGAAAGGCGGTGCAACATCGCTATGCATGGGCTTAACCAGTGGAGGTTAGTGTATTCCGAAATCCAAATCATCCTTTGAAAACCCACTGGCGTGTGGTAGGAGATTCCCAGTTTGTCGAGAGGGGATCTCAACCGCGTGGAAAGCTTCAAACAAGGAACCGATCGACTAAACGTCAACGATCCGCAGAAGTCGGCGCGTTAAACACCGACACATCCAGTTGCACAAGTGTGCGGCTTTATCTTTCCCCTCACGGTTCTTGTTATTTCTAACTGTTAGTTTGACAGAGGCCAAATCGCCCATGAAATATCTCGGGTCTTCCCGATGGAAAAAGTTCATCTCGTCTTATATCATGATCTTCAGACGACCCGTGACGTGTACATTCTCCCAATATATCCCGCCATCCACATTCTGAGAGCGTGTGGGTCCCATGGTTTTCTCAGTAAAATTTGGCAATGCATATTTGAGTGGGTGGTTGCTCAGTTGTCGGCGCTGGCCGTAGGCCTTGCCTTTCTCCTTGGCTTTAAGTGGATCCATCCTGATCCGTGTGGAGGTTTAGAATTGTTTTCTTATAATCCAGGGGTTCACATTATCTTTCCTCTGCCATGTTATGAATCTCTTCCTTTTTGCAGATGTCATCGCCACTCCCTTTGGCAGTATCTACTAATTCGGAACTGAATTCGAAAGCCATATTTCGACCCCGACTTTAAGTTGGCCCACCAGTAAATACTGGCTCCGAGCAAGGTAGTGATAATGATTTAATAACCTAACTATGAGAATACGAATTAAAATATGAATTTTTATTTTATTTTATTTTATTTTGGATAAAAAAATAATGTTGTTTTCAGTTTACAACTATCCAGTCCATGTCTGTCCTTCATGGCATTCCCGGCCTCTTCAACCTACTCTGGATTTTTTGGGTCTCATAGCAGGGCCAGATCAATGATATGCTAGTCCTATTTACAAGAAGTTTCCATTTAGAGCCATTCCTTTTTCATTTTTCCAATTCAAGACGTTAGAAGTAGATTTCATTAGCTTAGGTCTCTAAAATCCTTGCTTATGATGATGATGTCCTCTAATTCTTCAGCTAATGGTTCCTGGAAAGTTTGTAATGATGAGAATTTAGTTTCAAGGATAAATGTACTAAGCAAAACTTCTACACCATTTTACAATTGATAATGAGCAAAGCACTTTTGCTTTCTACCCTTAACCCTACTTCCCCCACCTCTAAACCATCAACTAATTCTATCCCAAGTGGAATGTGTTGTTATTTTAAAAAAGCAATGGTTGAAATAAATAGTTACTGGATAATAGAGCCCATGTTCATGGTCTTTTGACAGAATTTACTTCATGAGTATATGATAAAGATCATGATTCTTTAATAGAGTAAATGTTAAATAGATAGATTATTATTAATGATATATTTTAAAATGATATTAAGGTCTTATAAATTAGGTTCAGCAAATGAATTGACAAGATTAAGTTACATTACTTTTCAAGATAATAAATTTTGTATTGGACACTAAGGTCATTCTTCAATTTAGCATAACCTTATATTTAGAACTGCTAACATTTCAAAATAAAACTTTTCTATGATAACATATGTAAAAAGCTACTTGAGATCAGTTTCACACAAGTTAACTTGGGTGTCGGTCAATAATCAAATTGTCAGAATCACTAGATCATCAATCAAAATATAATCAACATGATTCGCAGAGTGTCATTACCAATTGACAAAGGATTCTAGATAAAAAGTTATGAATTTATCAAAAAACTCATCTCAGATTATTCAACAAATGAGTCATCATGGAAAATAAGATAATCTGTCATGAGATGAGTCACCACCTCTCCTAATCAAACTGAATGAGATACAAGCCTCCTCTTACTATGTAAATTTGATAAGAAGTTTCCTAAGATCTGTTTGAGCTCTACCTAACTCATCTCTACTAGGTGATAGTCATTGGAGAGCTTATTACTGTCAAAATTTCATTCCACCAAGTGACAACTATTGAATATGTTTCATTGAGGTATGTCATCAATTTCTAGACTTTACAAGAGGATACAAAGATTGTCCACATCATGAATGCTAAAAAAAACCTTTCAAGTCATGGACATTGCATGAAAATCCCCTCAAACATTTAAAATTTTGATGATTACCACCATGAAGTCAAAATATTATCTTTCTTCTTTAAAACTTAATTATTATTTCAATTTGTGAGATTTTTCATATTTTAAGTTTTAAAACTCTACTTTAGTCAATTATATTTTTTAACTTTTACATATCTTAATTTGATCAATTAAATCATCTATAATTATTTACATATGAATCACACTATTTTTGTACGAATTGTACTTGTTGGGGCTTTACTATGATCGTTAAATGAGCACTCGAATTTTCTTTTTTCACGACTTTTTAAATAAATTTACTTTTCATTATTTAGTTTAAAAATCATAAAATATCTTATTATTCACTAAAAATTTAAAATTTTGTCTAATACTATCTTCCATCCCTATGATCTACCTAAAATAGTTTACTATTTCTGAAATCTCTGATATAATTATAAGTGATATAATCATAAATACTTTTAAAAATCTAAAAATTAGTATTTTCTAGATTTATAATTTTCAAATTTATGTGATTTATTAAACAATGATTAATTCATCTCAATTATATTATGTGATTAATAGAGATTTGATTAGATTAAAATAAAATAAAAAACCTTACAGATTACTTAAGAATAGAACGGCAAATTTAAACCACTTCAAAGTATATTAAGACATCAAAATAATTAGTTTATATTTTTACAAAACCCCTTCTAGATGAACTTGAAATATACAAATTAAATGATATTTTAATTTCAGTAAAAATTAGTTAATTTATCATGATTATATCAACTTTTATTTTAATTATGTTTGTCATATTTTTGGAATTTATATATCTCATTTATCATCAATATGTATAGACATCAATGTCAACACATGTAGAATGACAAAATTTTAAATTTTATCATATGATCAAAGCTAAGGAATTGAAGAACATATATCATGTTACATCTAATATTGTCTCATTACAATCATTCCTCTATAAAAGAGTTGAAGGCTTCACATTCTAAAATCATCCAAACCATACTGTTCTCTCTCTTCTTTCCCAGTCCGAAAAAACCCCTCTTCCTTCCCCAATCAAGAACAACTAAAGAACCCTCTTAGTGAAGCTGAAATTAAGTTCCATTTTATCTTGCTTACATAAGGGATAAGTATATTCATTCCATCAAATTATTTCACGAATTTCACATCACATTCTGGTCCATTTCTCTTTCCATAAATTCTAGCACCAACAATGGTTGACACTCTTCACTCCATCCTTCCTATTGACCCCTCCAAGGCTTGCAAGTGCTCAAAAATTTTCAAGAAAGACAAAAATAAGGAAAGAATCATTATCTCCTCTATAGAAAAAGACCCTCTGATAAATCCCATTAATTATATGATAAAATGTTTAATATTTATATTTTATTATTTAATGATACAAAAATATTTATAAATTCCTTTAATCTAGAAAAAATGATATTAAAATTATTTATATGGTTATATTATTAATTTATAGAAATTACATGATGAAATTGGCTATGAAATATTTTGATAGGTTTTTCCAATGATTAATATTATTATCAAAATGTTTATATGTTAATTACATTTTTCTGATTTTTTCCTGAATTTTATTTTATTTTTCTAAGCTTATTATGATAAATAATATTATATAAAAAAAATAAACTATGAGACTAATTTCTTTTTTTAGGTTTTCCACATCAACGATGGATGTAATGAATACGGCGAGAAGTACAGTGGATGATTCAACAAAATCAATGGAATTAATGCATTGTAAGATGGAAAAACATTAGGGGAAGGAAGAATGAGGCATCTTCGATCAATCTATCGCTCTCCACAATCATTTTCTCTCTCCTTTAGTGACGACGAACATCGAATTCACCCAAATCATCTTATCCGATACAAATGATAGATTTTTTGACTTTTTCATGATTCAACCACTACATAAGTTGAACTTCATCCACAAACTCGTCCCATTCTTCGCCTAATACAAATAGAGAAGAATTTCTTCTAAGGATCCTTTTTTGAACACCACGGCACACTCGTAGTTGAACCACTGCCATCAACTGATTCCAATAAGTGACAGTTTTTGGGATTGTCATTCATCAACTGGAGATTGTGTAGCAATCTATTCAGTACATCGCATTTGCACAAATTGATCAAATTCTGGAAAAAATTTGATTGTCGACTATTATGCCCATTCTTTTGTAAAGCTTGAATCTTTACATCATTTTACTTTCTTTTTAATTTATAAAATGTTTTTTTCAGTTCTACATTGTGTTATGAAAAATTTCTCTTTTCAAATAAAAGTTTATTTCTAAGTATTTTGTCTTTGATTTTGAGAAATATGAGTCAACATATTTCCAATGACTCAAATTTGGGGGTGTTCTTCGTGGGCTGATGTTGGCTGATGTCATAATCCATAATTTCTTATTCTAAAAATTATGTTTATTAATTTTCATAATTAAAAATTCTAAAAAATTAATCTATCAATTGGAAATTATAAATATAATTAAATAATTTCATATAAAATTAAATCATTCTAAATTGGCTTATTTTTTAGCATTTATA